TACGAGCAGTTCTGATGACGACCCTCGCGATCGGAGAGTAGTGACAACCCCATACGAGCAGTTCTGATGACGACCCTCGCGATCGGCAAGTAGTGACAACCCCATACGAGCAGTTCTGATGACGACCCTCGCGATCGGCAAGTAGTGACAACCCCATACGAGCAGTTTTGATGACGACCCTCGCGATCGGCAAGTAGTGACAACCCCATACGAGCAGTTCTGATGACGACCCTCGCGATCGGAGAGTAGTGACAACCCCATACGAGCAGTTCTGATGACGACCCTCGCGATCGGCAAGTAGGGACAACCCCATACGAGCAGTTCTGATGACGACCCTCGCGATCGGCAAGTAGTGGCAACCCCATACGAGCAGTTCTGATGACGACCCTCGCGATCGGCAAGTGACAACCCCATACGAGCAGTTCTGATGACGACCCTCGCGATCGGCAAGTAGTGGCAACCCCATACGAGCAGTTCTGATGACGACCCTCGCGATCGGCAAGTAGTGACAACCCCATACGAGCAGTTCTGATGACGACCCTCGCGATCGGCAAGTGACAACCCCATACGAGCAGTTCTGATGACGACCCTCGCGATCGGCGAGTGGCAACCCCATACGAGCAGTTCTGATGACGACCCTCGCGATCGGCGAGTGGCAACCCCATACGAGCAGTTCTGATGACGACCCTCGCGATCGGCGAGTGGCAACCCCATACGAGCAGTTCTGATGACGACCCTCGCGATCGGCAAGTGACAACCCCATACGAGCAGTTCTGATGACGACCCTCGCGATCGGCAAGTGACAACCCCATACGAGCAGTTCTGATGACGACCCTCGCGATCGGCGAGTGGCAACCCTGATAACGAGAGGTGAGGACAAATGAGCAGGTGATGAGGTGAATGAACAAGGGACTATTTGAGCTCATGATTTACACCGCTATCACCCGGTGTCACGGTCCTCCTACATTTTCCTTGTTACATCTTTTTATTCTCTTTGAAACATTGGGCAGATTTAAACAAATATTTAAATGAAATGTCTACGTCTGATTTTCATTCCAACCAAACCATCTCTCCATTTGACTTTCACTGAAATTTTGCATTTTATGTTTTTACTCATTTTCAAAAATACTTTGCTTATGCTATTTTGATAATTTAAATAGCCTGCTAATTTTAATAATTTCAACACTTATCCAATTACTATCTTACTTCGATAATTTAAATTATAATGAACATAAAAACTTCTGTTACGCAGTATCCATATGGGTTTCGCTAAAAAAAGAGTAGTGATATAGTATAGGCATAATGCATACTATGCTTCAAATAAAATCGCAATAACAAAATCCACAATGACGATACTGTATCTATTTTTTATTCAGGGTTAGTTAAATTATATTTAGGGTTAATTAAATCTGTGGTAAGCATTCTTATTCTTACGATTTACATTTACATGCAATACCAAATATAATCTAGTAAATGGAGGGTTCCAGTTAATCCGTTAATGCAATTTCAAACACAAGCGCGACGGCTTCCATTTGGGAGTTCATCGTGGACTCAATTAAGGTAATCCGGGCATGACTAATTCAACCCTTCACGTCGAGAAACTCTGACAGAGTGCAGCACTTCCGTCACTTGTACGGTACGTAACAATATTCATAATAGCGCACGTGACACGTGTCGCTCGGCAACACTATTGTGAGCAGACAGACCCACGGAAATTGATGTAACTATTCATAATTCTTTTTCCAGAACGGATAACTTCTATTTCTGGTTCAACCGTAGAACAGAGTTGATTGTAAATGTAAGAAAGTGGAAATTACTATTTTTAATGCACTAAATTATAAGATAGATAACTATGGTTGAATAAATCTTTTTACAACTAACTAATAACAACTATTGTAGATTTTACAAACATTCTCTTCAGTATTCATAATTGAAAAAAAAAAATGAAATCATATACTAAATAGTTGCTTTCAAATTGACAAATGTCAATCCAATTTCAGACGAATCTATAAGTGGAGTCCCTGTAGGCCTACTGCAAAACTACTGCAGCTACTTTAACAAACTAGGCCTTATGCTTTTTACCTAGGACTGAATCAAAATGAGAGAAAATTACTTTCTACTATAAAAATTCAAAACAACTTAAAATAACTCACCTTTAAAACTTAATGTGATACCAAGAAGCTTATTTGACGGTATAATGATTACCTATTAACAGAACTACAACCCTTACAGATATCAATGCCTAAAAATAACTGAACTATCCAAATGTAACCTGAAAAATGCATGGGAATGTAGTTAAGTAATGTAGTAACGAGAAATAAATCACACTTCATAAATAATCAATAATAATCATAAATAATCGTATTTTTATGACTCTTTCTAAATAAATTGCATTGAAGTTTGACACAAAAGCGTTTAATTTATTGATGGTTTTGATGAAATAAAACATTTGGTTTAAGCAAACACTACTTTTATAGTACGTTAATGACACCCCTTCCAGAGAGCTTAATCTCGTGCGTTTATGAGCAATATCTGATGGTTTAGGGATGGTCTAACTAAATGTATTTAAAAAGACTTAGCACTGGACTCAAAAGACTTAGCACTGGACTTATGGAGTTTAAGATCGGAAAATTACAGGAGCAGAAATAAATTTGATCATACCATAAGAATAATCCAAGTAAATTAATAACATCTGGGGGTTTTGCATAACTATTGCCGTATGCTAAATCCCAATGAAAAAAATAACAGACAGAATCTCAATTTCTTTAGAAGTTGCGAAAACTTAGTTATAACAAGTCATTTCAAAACAAATATAATTTTTTATATCATATTTTCATCTGCTGTCATCGGTGAGCGTAAAAGTCGAACAACGGGTTTCAATGACTAAAAGGGAGAAAAATGCTGTGCGAGTAGCACTTAAACTTAAGCAAGATCATTAAAGTGTATTTTATTTTTGTTAAATTTTATACTTTTACATTATTCAGCGATCAAACGTCTATAGTTTGTAATAAAAATGTTTTTTCGTAAATTATAAAATGTGTCTGTTAACAATATTGTTTTAACGATTTAAACCAATTAACAGAACTGAGCAAGGCTTGGTCCTTGGTCCCCCGGTACTGTTTTTAAATAGGCCAGTTGGTGTTAATCAACTGCCTATTCTAATTGAGTTGACATCGTAAATTAAATTTTACGTTAATTAATTTAATTAATTTCCCTGTTAGTGTAAAAACCGTGTAAGTTGTGTAAAGTTTTCTCGCCGTGCAAGGTAGAATCAGGGAGCAGAGCTAAATTACTTTATTGCCTTTACCATACTGTTTCTGATTTTTTTTCTATAACTTCCTTTGTCTTCAAAAATACTTAAGTTATTCAATCCATGAATAAATCCTGGAGCTATTGCATGTTTAATAACATTTCAAAAACTAATTAAATGTAAAAATGGAAATTTCCACGTCATCATAATGTGCAAGTGCAATACTACCCATGCTGCTTCTCTCCTCTTTGTAAAGATGTAAGCAGCATTCCTTATTGGAGCATACTATAAAAGATGTTTCTAAATTACCTACGTAAAATTGTTTTCATAAGCAAATTATCCATAAAAATAAAAAACACATTTTCTTACAACATCATTTAGGTACTATTTATTTTACAAAAATGGCACATAAAATTTATTATAACAACCAGATAAAATATGTACAGTTTAATTTAGGAGCTATTCTTCTATTTTGTATTATAAAACAGCTTCTAAATTAAATAGCCAAAAACACAAATTAAAAAACACACCTGGGTAAGCTAGAAGATTTTGATATAACCCTTAGTTTTGAACGGTAAAACTGGTCTTATGATCTTTGCCTACCGGTAATCGTTGTTCTTCGCTAATGTTAATTTTTTTATTTCAAAAAAATATTGTTTTTTTTTACATCAGGTAAAAAAACCACGGCAAAACTATGAATTTCCTTACAAAAACAACTTTCTCACCTAAAAAAACTTAACACGACAATAAACATGATTGCAATCAATTTATAAAAGTTGAGTTGTGTCTATTGTAGCTAGCCTACTTTTCTGCGAGCATGGTATTTGGGACAAAAACGGCATCAAACTGTTTTGGCATTAGTCATATTGTTGAACTAGGGATGTTTATAAACATAACCAATGCGTGGAGGCTATACCCAGTGCATAAAAGCATCTTTGCTGAGCATAATCAATGGGAGGGCGTAGTTTAGTTGTTGCTAGGGAACCGGAGCAGTGAGTTAGCAGCATCAGTCAAACAACAACCAAGATACGAGGCAAATATAAACTAGAAATTTTATAACAAAATAAAATAATAACAAATATTTTACCTAATCAGTTCTACATATTGAGCTTGTAATACGTCAATTATTGTGTCTACTTATTCGCAAACAATAACTGTGTTGGTATTTGTATACTTTATGCATTAGTTAAAGAGTGCATAACCATTTTAAATTTAAGAAAATGGAAGAGGTTGTTAGTTTAGCTATACAATCATCACATTTGATTGTTGTGAACATCAACAAAATGAACAATGTTAAAAATCGTATGTTCAGTATAGGGTGTAACAAAACTCTTAACGGTCTATTCATTACCTGATATTAGAGCAAAAAGTCAAAACATGTTAATTAAAATCTTTTGATTAAGGCTCAGCCAGCCTTTAATTTGACCTGATTTTAATAGTTTTGAAAACAAATGTGCACATTTGTATGATATTTTGTAAATACTTTAGATATGTACACTTCTATAGTTTCCAAAAATATATTTACTACTCACTACGAAGTAGGCTATGTTTATTACTCACAAGTTACAACTATTTGTAACTCTGAGTTACCATAAATCCTTACGTCTGCTTACTATCATATTAATAAGATTATGACAATCTAACTAAGCGGTAGTTTCAATATTTTTTGCGCTATATTTGTGGCTTTAAGTACACTTTTAAAAACATTTAAAATCTTATTAAAGTTAATAAATTGTCGTTTTTGTTGCAGGCCAAGACTTCTTTTTCAATGGAGCTGGTCAGAATGCTCGGTACCTGCCTTTCCAGCAGCCATCTCTGCAGACCCAGCAGCAGTTGTCGAGCTTCTTCTCACCACAGACGAGTGGAGGGTTCGACCCCTTCAGGACATCACCACAGAATTCCCAGCAAAGCGAGTTCCAGCCAATACAACCTTCTCAGTTTCAGTTTCCACCCGGCAGATCATCTTCACTACAACATTTTGAACAGTTCACATCAAGGCCGACACAATTTGTCCATACTAATCAACATCTACCTCAACCCTTTCAGCATTTTGACTCTTCTCAAGATAATTCAAACTCACAAGGGTTTTCTTTTAGAGGATCCTCTTTAGGACACTCAAACAGATTTCAAAGTCTGCCTAATATTCAGAAACCTACATTTCAGAGCCAATTCGAAAATGCATTCATTGGGATCCAAAATTCAGAAGATGAAACAGGCCGAACAACTCAAAGCTATGTCAATGTTCAGCATCCTAAAGTATCAGAACAATTCCCCAGTAATAGGTGGAAACAAGTACAGTCATCTTTAAGTGCACCACCATTATCCGAAAGTAGGAAATCTAAAAGGCCAGAAATTATTCGACCAATTACTGAGGAGCAGGAAGATGATCTCTCACTCAATGTATTTGTAGATCAAAACTTAGACAAAGAAGAAGGTCTACCTCGAACTGCAGCATCAAGCTCACCTATTGATATATTTACAAAATTCCAGGAAAAGAAGCGAGGAGATCAAAATTTGAGAAGGAAAGTAGTTAATAAAGTAGAGCCCATTTCGACAGACACACCTCTTAAAATCAGGAAAAATCCTGAATTCCCTAGAGGCACACCCGCAATCCCTAAAACTTCTTCAAAACCAGTTGTAGCTACAGAAACACCCTTCCTTATTACAACTCTTAGGAATAAATACAACAATATTAGAATTAAACCCACTACTTATACACCGCCATCCCCAGCAAGTTTACCTGATAGGAGGCAGAAAAATCGAACTGGAGCTACTATCAATAGTGGTAGGTTCAGAACATCAAATGTTAGATTTAGTTCAACTTCTACAGAAAGCCCAGATGAAGCTGTGAATATTAAAGAATATTCGCAGGAATTTGGACGACCAGTGGAGAAAAAGACAATTGTTTCTCCGTCTTCATCGCCCCAGGTACCATTTTCGAACCCTGAAGTGAATAGATTTAGCATAAAGAACCAGAATGATAGACTTAGCCCAGAAAACAACCAAGACCACACATTTTTGGAAGACGAAGATACAGATGCAATAGATTATGAATACTCATCAGACATTTTAGATGATGTAAATGGTCCTAACGATGCTTATGTTGAATTAGAAGAAGTGCCGATATCAAACCACTCGGGAAGTAGGAGTCATGAGGACAGTAAAACAATAGATAAAAAAGTTAATGGAGAAAGAAATTCAAGTTTTGATGTCCTTACTATGAACCATGATCATGTTTTAGTATCTGATGAAAACTTCCGAGACTTTGTTGATAGTGGCTCTATTGATCTTTCAGAGCAACCTCAAACCGAACAACCCATCCATCAACATCAAGATCAACATCAAGATGTGACTGCAAAACCCCTTTCAACAGTCAACAGAACTTTATCAATAAAAAATAACAAAAACCAACAAACAGAACATCCAGAAAACCAGACTGATCGTCCTATAACATCACACAATGACCAAGTTAAAGCTCCTCCGAGTGCAGAAATGCCCAAAGCTGGAGAAGAAGAAGAGGAGCATCCAACAGAAAGCTGGGTAATTGTTGCATCCGTCCAAACTAGCCGAAGTGTTTCGGGGGCAAGATTTCTCCCAGGAAGTATAACACAGCAAGAGTCTCCAAAACCTCTTGGCTCAAAATCTCTGGCTTCAAAAGATGCCACTTTAGATTCTAAAATAAAAGAAAGTGTTACTACCACAATTGTACCTCAAAATACAGATAATACTACGTCAAAGATATCAAGTAATTACTCAGATATACTTCCCAAAAACACTAACATAGATCAAGCTGAAATGAAATCAAACGAATCACTTTCACAAGTAGTAGCTAACTCTGTACCATCAACTGAAAGTATAATTGATAAGCTTGATAGAGTACAGTCAGAACTGTCCAGTGGCATTCTTAGTGGTGGATTTAGACCTCTGGAGGTTCTTCCTGAAATGACTTCAGAAAATTCCACTTCAACTACGACTTCAACATCACCAACTACAACAACGACTACGACCACGACCACTACAACAACACCTGAACCGACCACAGGAAGCTCCCCACCTGTGGTAATCAGAAAATTCAACCCATCAAATAGAAGAACGACTGCTCGACCTAAGCCAAGTCCCAAACCAGGAGTGACAAAGAAGCCTTCGATTATAGATAGTATTCAGTTTGATGATCTAACTGGTTTACTACCTCCAGGATTTAAAGTAAGAAATTCGTTTACTCCTAAAAAAGGGATCACGACCACAACAACAACAGAATCGAATGCTGATATGCAAGGAGATGAACCTGTAAAGACCAACTCTACTAGGACAGGTGGGGCCAGGTCAAATGATTCTTCAGGCTTTCCCAATAAAATAAAAACTGCCGATATATCAGGATTACTTCCAGCTGATTACAAGCCGTCCACAGAAAGCACACTAGACAAACCTAAAGGTATTGAAAGTATTTTAAGTAAAGTATCTTTCCAAGAGGTTGGTGGTTTCCTTCCTCCTGGCTACAAACCTAACAAAACTTCGGATTCTAGTGATGAAAATCCCAAAGTACCTAAAGTTCCAAAAATTAACTTCAATATTCCAAGCAATCTTTTGCCACCAGGATTCAAGCCTAAGAATGAAGAAGGTGATATACCTAAACCAGATAAAATAGATATATCCGCTCTTTTGCCTCCAGGATACAAGCCTAAGAATGAAGAAGGTGATATACCTAAACCAGAGAAAATAGATATATCTGCTCTTTTGCCTCCAGGATATAAATTGACAACAGAGGAGCCCAAAGAAGCATCAACATCTGTTTTGGATTCTATTTTGAACAAAGTCAAATTTAAAGATGTTTCATCTCTATTACCTCCTGGATTCCAAAATAATATCACCAAATCCAATTCACCCAGCACGACACCACCTGCAGATGAAACAACAACCTCCAGCAACGGACTGAAGGTAGTGTTCCCAAGCAGACCAGGGGGTGGCCGTAAACCTCCCTCAAGATCAAACTCCAGCAGCAAATCAGCCGGAGGCATTGGTCCTGTTCAACCCAAGATCCAGAAAGGATGGCCAACAAGGTAACAACACTTTTAAGTTTTTTCTTAGTAAAAGAATAATGCTACACCAGGCTTAGTCATTTTTATAAAATCTTATTTTTTATCAATACATTTTTTATTTATTAATTAAAAAACTTATACACAGTATGGTTGTATTCAATACATTTTCGTTTGGTAGTATTTGAGGTACGGTAGTCAAGTAGTTATTTTGATTGATTGACTACAAAAAAGATATATTGTCTGTTCCTACATTTTAAACCTTAGCAGCCAAGGTGTTGCTAGATACTGCACAAAGATGTATCAATCTGGTACTAAACATTGTAAAACATATATAGACTCTTACATTATATATGTTAACTACATATTAAGTACAACCACATCCCATGGTGGAAGGAAAAAACATAGGTGTGCTATTCCCACATATTCTGACGTCACTCGGATTGCAAACAAAAGATCATCTGATTATAACTGTCAAATCAGTATATGTATTTGTTTTGATTTGGCTGTTATTGTTTTTATTATTATGAAAACAATAACAATCAAATAAAAACAAATACATACTAAATTTGACAGTTACAATCAGATGATCTTTTGTTTGCAATCCGAGTGACGTCAGAATATGTGGGAATAGCACACCTATGTTTTTTCCTTCCACCATGACCACATCCCATCTATACGGATCAGCTGTCGCAAATTTTTTACTAAAAAAGAATGTAGTTGTGTGAGCCAGACACAGATTGCGCTAGTGCCTAAAACTCTATTTCTATTTTGTACCTTATTTTTTGTTACTGACATAGTTGCTGGGTCACAACAGCTGCTATAGCTCATAATAAGTCATTCCATCAGTTTGACTTGGTAAAAACCATTGTGTAATCGGCAGAAATCAGTAATTTAGATCAGCGCAATCTGTAGGTGGCTCACATCAATTAAGACAAATTTTATTAAAAACCTGGCTATAACTTTAACATGGGGATGGAATGTCTAATAGTCAAAGGTACAACTCAAAAATTCTTGTATAATTCCAGGGCCACAACAGAATTTACAGGGTGGCCCACGGTGTCGACTACACCAATATCAATTGAGAAGATCTTGGCTGCGGCAAAGACGGCAAGTGTGGAGAACTTCACTCCCAGTAGTAGTACATCTACCACGACCACCACAACTACTACTACCACAACCACTGCTGCTCCCACGACCCCTGGCATGTGTACACAGGACTGCGACCTGGCAGCAACCATCAAACTGGTGGGAGGTGCCTCGTGGATGCCAGAACTGCTCGATCATAACACCCAGGAGTGGCAGACTCTAGCCAATGAGGTCCAGGATCAGGTCAGGAAAAACCTATACACCCAGAAGTTACTAATTAAATTCAGTTAATTGGTTATCAAACACATTTTCAATTTTCAAGTTTAATACTTTAACACAACAGAACAAGGGAAGGATTGAATAAGAGGTTTTGATGTAAGTTGTTGTGTGATTATTCTGAATCCATGAATTAAAAGTAATTATAGTGAAATATATCTCCCCATATTAAATATAATGTGCGAAAACTTGGGAATGAGTACAACAATGTTTATTGTACATATTAACCATGAATGACATTGGAGCCCTTTACTTGAATGACGAATTAAAGATTAAATCACTTGATTGCAAATTTATTTCCTTCTTGATAATTGTTATAAAATAGACCGATTAGAATGTATTTGTTTTAGCTGGAAAGCGTGTACAGCAGTTCAGAGGCCCTTAGTCGGTGGTACAAGAAAATTACAATCGACGCCTTTAGGTAAGTAATATGTGGTGGGTAACAGTTGTTTCCATCCAATAACACACAATAATTCCCTCTATACTTTCTATTGTTCCTGACCAGTATTTAACTTAACATTTCTTCATCTAGATTTGACTGTTGGATATTATCAAGTAATGGAAAGGGTAAGAGTTAATAGTTATATAATGGTCTTCTAAATATCAAGATCCACAATTTTCACACCTGTAACATAACTATATAGCCACTATTAATCTATATAATTATTATTAATGCAATTAATAAAAAAAAATAATTGATTTTTAAATTGCTGCTCGATTATTTAGACCAAGATTCCTAAGAAATAGAAAAGTTTCTAACTTTAATCTTCTTTGAGCACATCGTGTTCTGGAGGGAATTCTCAACTCTTCATTCCACCGTGGTTTGCTTCTAATTCATTTTTCAATTTTACATTTACTTCATTGCACACTCAAACTATACATTGATTTCGGTCAGCATAAAGAAACTTATTTTATACATAGATTTCCTGGCATGATATTTTGCCGAGGCATAAGTCTAAAATGTTTTAAGGTTCCACAAGCGACATATTATTAAATGTGACAATTCATAAATACAAACTAAACTCAATGTTTCCTTGAGTTGTTAAGGCAATCCTTTATTTATTTGTTCTTTTTTCGGTCATATTATACTGTAACTAGGCCCTAATTACAATTACAATTGTCTAAAAGATATTGTTTAAAATTCATATAAATAGATCTGTTTATGTCACCAGACTGTGCTGACAATTTAATGACCAAAACGGTAACATGTATAATTTAAGAACCCTGGTGAATGGAGATGGTGGTAGAGCCATGACGGAATTATGTTTAAGTACTCATCTACAACCCATAAGGAAACTTGGTTTCAAAATACATCACAATCACTAGCCATTTAATATTATATGTGATTGAGGTTACTTTTTTTTAATGTACCGTACATCAGTTCATGATTGTATTACATTTTGATCTATTTTGGAAAAGTTCAATACAATAACGGATTGTCAAGTTTATTTAATTGCTACACAATAATTTCTGTATTCATATTTCCCGCGATTCTAATAATAGAAATAATTAGTTCCACACATTCCTTTGTTAGAATTTACATTACATCAGTTGCAAATGTGCTACTGTAAACACCAAACGGTCCAAATTTGGCTTAACATAATACACAGGCGTTACTCAAATCAAATCAAATCAAATCAAATATGTCTTTATTCATAATATGTACAATTTATGTACAATGAATGGTGTCAGATCTTATTTCTAAGAAATAAAAATAAGTACATTAAAATTAATCTATTTACAAGTATAATACAGTACACATTTTTACCAACAAACTTTACCAACAACGCCATTTAACTTATTTTATTTCAAAACTCATTAATTGAATGACAAGTATTCTCAATCATGAATGCCTTTAAATTTTTATTGAATTTCTTAATGTTAGTCTCACTTTTCAAACTTTCGGGCAATCTATTAAAGAATTTGGCACCCTTATATGTGGTATTTTTTTAGTTCTAATCTATGTGTTTCTAATTTCAAATCATTTTTGTGCCTAGCATTATAAGTATGATTATGCCCAAGAAAACTAGTATTAGTCATGTTTTGTTTCACATACATAACACATTCATATGTATATATATATAAATCAAATACTGACAAAATTCCCAGTTCACTAAACCTATCCTTTACATGAGCCTTGTACTTCAAACCTAGCATGATTCTTATACAATTCTTTTGGAGTTTCAATATCTTTTTTAAGTTTTTGTGAGTTGTTGCTCCGTATACACAAATGTTATATGCCAAATGTGAGTGAATTAAGCTAAAATATATTACTTTTAAAGTTGCTAAATCTCAGAATTTAGATAATCTTTTAAGGACATAAATTCCTGAATTCATCTTTCCTTTAACTTTGTTAATATGTTTATTCCAGTTTAAATTGCAATCCATAATTAAACCCAAAAATTTTGCATCCCTTACTTCTGAAATAATGTTGTCATTTAATTTTATTTCTGTTGAAAAACCATTTCGGTTCTTATTTGTATTAAAATTTATAAAGTTTGTTTTATTTAAATTTATCTGTAAGTTTAGATTTTTCAAAAATTTAACTATGTTATTTAACTCTTCTTCTGCAGATCTTTTAATATGTTCATCAGTTTGTCCTGAAACTTTCAAATTTAAATCATCAGCATACAAAACTACTTTGTTGGCATTCTGATCAACCAATATATCATTAATTCCATTTATGTGTATAATGAATAATAATGGGCCTAATATTGACCCCTGTGGGACTCCAAATTTTATACACTGTGTTTTTTAGAATTTATTTTTTTATTTGTTTTCCGCCAGTTGTAGAAGCTATTTCAACAAACTGTTGCCTATCGGTTAGATATGATCTGAACCAATCAAGTGCTTTGCCTTTAATACCAAACTGTGTCAAAATTTTAACCATGGTACCACGACAGACTCTATCAAATGCCTTTTTTAGGTCCATAAATAGTCCAATACATTTTTCACCCCTATCAAATGGCATCAATAATGGACTCAATAAATTGAACAGTTGCTGTTTTGGTCGACTTTCCAGCCCTAAATCCATGTTGGGTGCCATTAATTAAGCGGTTACTTTCGAGAAAGTACATTAATCTAGTATAGACAGATTTTTCATAAATTTTTGAAATTGTGGGTAAAAGTGACAGTGGCCTGTAATTTGACAGATTTTTTGGACAATCTCTTTTGTGTATAGGAATAACTTTTGCAATTTTAAGTTTTGATGGGAATATACCTGACACAAAAGATGAGTTTAATAAGTGAACTAAGACCTTAACAATAGCTTTATCAACATGTTTAATCACTTTAATAGGCACTTCATCATAACCACTAGCATGTTTGTTGTTTAGATTTTGAATAATGGTTAGTATTTCTTTTTCATCAACTGGTAATAAATGGAAAGCATTTTTGATATTATTCCTATCTCTTTGACTACAATTTTCATTGGCAGAACCAAAACTATTGCCCGTTAACGATTCCTTTGTAATATTAATGAAATAATCATTAAAAGTATTAGCTACTTGAAAAGGATCAGTAACAGTGGTAATATTTTTTTTAATGAATGTTTTTTGTATTCAACTTATAATACTTACTGTAAAGGAGATGGTTCTGCTGATACTAATATTACTAAAAACATCATGCTTATTGTCATGCAAAATGGGTCAACTGTTCTAGCAACAGTGAAGGTGGTATTTCATGTACACAAAGCACCTTTTTGGTTTTTATTTAAAAAATTGACATAAGGATCTGAAAATTTAGATTTCGCTTTAGTATAGCCATAAATATTACTAAAAAGTGAGAAAATAAATTAAAGAATAAATTAGTGTGTTAAGGGTCCTGATGTTTTAGGAGTAGAACACGGAGTAGCCCAGCAGTTTATGAATGTGTCATGTGTGTGTTGTTGTTCCAGTGAGGGCAGTGTGTTGGTGGACTACTTTGTAGAGTTGACAGACCTGGGACGTACAGTCTCTACAGCAGACATGAGGAGGTTGTTCCATGAAGCCCTACAGGAGGCCACTGTAGCCCAGGAAGCATTGTCTGGTGGAGACACTCTCAAGGCTCATAACACTTCTGAGTTCAAGATGGGCAAGTTCATTGTCGACCCCAAGTTCACAGATTTTGTTGGTATGTTTAGTTTTGAAATACATTACAATTTTCTTACCTAATATTTTACATTGAAAACTGAAAAAATAAAATATTTTTAGTGAATCCTATTGTGTTTATTAAAAACTAGGTTTTATTTTCATTGAAACTAGAGGTCGCCCCCCCGTGGTCTAAAATTCTACCAGAAATATGTATTGTGCAAACTTTTCTTTTTTGGTATTTACTCAAGGTAGGTATAGAAGAGCCTTTGATGATGTCAGCTGTCAGTGTCAGATGTCTTCTCTTGAGGGAACACCATTACTGTAACGATAGGATATAAAGCCATCGGCCTCGGTCATTTAGTGGAAGAGTTCCTGGCTGATGAACTGAAGGTAGCTGGATCGATTCCCACCGATAGCATTAACCTTTTGTCAACGATTTAGCTTAATGTGATTACTTCTTAACTGTAGTACATCTTTTGTTAGAATTTGAGGTATTTATAATTTTACTTTATGAACAGAACAATTTTTTTATTAGTAAACCATTATTCGATTTTTTCATCATCAGCAAGTTTGGTTAGGTTATGACAGTTTAATTTTATAATAAAAAAACTATAAGATAAACTTTATATTTTTTCTTAATTTTATAATTAAGTATGACGTCATGGATCAGAAGCCAATCAGAAGCCTCCAAATGACACTGTTGGCAAAACTAATAGTGAAATAAAAATTACGTGCTGTGCTCTCGACTACAGCACTGTTCACGGAGGAATTTTGAGCTAAACTATGATGTTATCGTTGCCTCATTTATACCTCTCGTAAGTCAGACCCCTCTTTTTTCACCCTACACTGTAAATGAAACATGTGATTGGAATTTCTTCCATTTGTTTTGATAATCTGCTTATATGTTGTTGTTATTTAGTCACCAGCATGGCAAGATGTGCTTCTGCCACAGTGGGCCATCGCTGTTTAATAATATCAATATGAGCTACATAACTCAGAATAATCACCTTTTTGCAGTTTTGCCCAAGCAAGTAATTCCAACTGTAGGAATGGCAGAGGAAGATGTTCTTCTGCCACAGTGGGCCATCGCTGTCATTGTCATTGGTCTGGCGTCCCTACTGTTTGTTATCATCTTTGGGGTTACAGTGGTTAGTATAATATTGCATTGATCTTCAACAAAATAGAATTAATCAAATACTTTTAAATTTTAAACAGAAAAGAATTTGATCGTGTTTTAAAATAACAATTTAAAACAGAAATTTCCTACACATTGTAAATTTTGTAATGCAAAACTCATTATGATATTATGAAAAATTGAATATTTATCAAACAACGTCCTTTACGTTTGAATAAACAAACAACTTTGTTCTTTTATAGAAGGAAGTACTTTTTTTAACTCAACAGACACAACAAACTACTTGATTTTATGTTTTCATGATGTTGCATGGTTAACAGTTTCTCTAACCAAGATTTAATTTATTAAATCTCCTTGAATATTATTTTCATAGCTTTCTTATTGGTACTTATCTCATTAAAATCTGACATAGGTCATTTATTTGTTTACGCATCATTTTTTTATTTTATGTAGGGAAGTAAAATGACAGTGCATTTTATTGAAGTTTGTCCTTAATTTCCGTTCAATTTACAAGAATAGTTATAATGAATGTTTTTTTCTTCAGTTGGTGAACCGACACAATAGTGCCAAGAAGAAGCAGCCTGTTGCACTGACAGAAGATATGCTGAACGAACTGAACAAGAACCACATGGGAGGTTTAGATAACTATGGAGCAGATGATCTGTACAACATGGAGGATGTTTGGAATGAAAAACCTACCAAAAAGGTACAACACTATAGGCTACCTGTACAAGAATAAATATTGGTAGTAATACAAAACCCCAAAGCTACTATCCTCATATTTCTTAATTTTGTGGCCAGTGTTTATGTTTCAATTTAACTTGCTTAAGGAATACTGCTCCAAAACTGCCACATTTATTCTGTTATAATACAACGTAAAATCTGTGTTAAAACCTATCTTAGTAGTTGAGTACCTAGAATGTAAAATAGTTATTTAAATATAATATGAAACTTATAATAATAACAATAATGACAAGGGTGAAATCTTTTTCACTGCACTGTACTATGAGTTGAGCTGTTTTCATTATGTGTTTACAACCCGTGAAAAATCATATATCAACAGCTGTCTATTGTTTACTACCGAAAGTAACATTGTTTACAACCAAAAATTTTCCACTGTCAACAACTTCAAATATTTGTTACTGTTTTATCAACTGTTTCAATTTTCAACAACTAAAGTAAATATTAACTTTAAATTAAAGGCATAACCTAAAAAATTCTATGAGTTTTGTAATGAAGAAAATAATTATTCTTTGTAGTGTAGCAAAAAGTAATGTTCAAAACAGAGTGAAAGTGGGTCAATACATATTCTCGACCATTTAAAGTGCTCGATAAATCTCACAGTTCAAACATGGTCTCAAATATGTAATTAGTCACTTTCTACTCTTAAAACGAAATATACTATTTCATCACATGATTTTTTTACAGTTAACATGTAAAAAAAATTGTTAATAAGTTTGTCATACAAGTGGTTTTAAAATAAATATATTTACTACATATAGAAATGGGATAACGGTAGGCATACATAAAAAATGTTGCAATAATGAATGTAAAGTTTGAGGGTTGTCAGTAAATTAAGGTCTCCGTCACAACCAAGCAAGTTTGAATATGAGACCAGTTCCTTACTTTATTCACTACTATTGTAGCTGGTTCCCACCCATATGAGACTAGAATTTTAGTCTTAGTATCTAAAAAGGCTGTGAAAGAAATTGACACTCCTGCCAATTAAGTACCTATGAATCTCGTTCTGTGCATAAGTCTCTGCAGAAAGAAAGTCCCTGGTTATTACTACTGCCAGGTAATAGATGTGTATGCAGAGAAAATGTGCATTAGTGGCTTGAGTATTGTGTTGATTTAGGTTATTGTACTTATTTGCACAACAGAGCTGGTAGCACCTTGGGTTTTCCATTTTCACAGTGATTGAATTTAAGGAAACTTTGCTTGCAGATTGGTGTGTTTCAGACATCCAGGTCTGACGGTAGATCTTGATAGTCTTATAGAGAGGTCCTCCACTAGTTCAATAATCTCTCTTGTTTAGTCACACCACAATCTGAATGCAACATTCTCTCAACTTTGGAAAAATGAGAATGACAAACAACACCAGTAGACCTACACAATGGTGGACAACATCTTGCAAATATTTAAGACCACGTACAAAATCTCACCACTCTCCGCACATATTTTCAATGTCTACAAACATTACCCTATTCACGTCTGTCAACTGGCAATGGACTCCAATAATGGTTGACAACTAAAACCACAAAAATATAATCAGACCGCAATTTAAGCTTGCGAAATTTTATTTCAACATGTGGTTTTACACTACGACCTGAATAATCATTCCATAAGGTACACCGGCTAGAATAGTAGTAGATGAAACTAGGTACACATCCTTGGGCACAAATTTGAATAAGCTTATATGGCTGCGACGGGAACTCTATGAAAACCTTAATTTACTAATTTAATTTACTTAATTTACTTACTTTAACCTTGTAAATGAAATAGGGTAGATTTTCTTTGAGTAATTTGTCAAATTCCTATTTTCATTAACTGGATTTACGTCAGCTGTAGGATTGAGGGATAACATTTTTGGGTTTCAAGGGCTTTCCTCAATGCGTACAGGCTGTGGATACTTTGTCCAACTCCCTACACATTTATTGTACATTCCTTTTGTTTGGCTGCAGCGGTCGTCAGGGTCATTGCAGGAGAACAGCATGGCCAACCTGTATGACAGTTGGCGATCTGAGTGGAACGGCTACTACTACAACGCTGCAGCCTCAGGCTACTACGGCGGCAGTAGTAGTGGAGGCTACGGACCAGGCCGAAGACGCTCCGACTATGACACTAACTTCTGAGGATTAAGGTAACTGGCTCGCAAAACTAATTTTACCCATTAAAAAATATATGTGGAACTATTCATAAAGACTGTTTATAAAGAGATTACAGTCCAGCTGCCCAAAAGTAATATTGCTTAACATTTAAATTTTGTTGGAAAGGCAATTCAAAGTACAGTTGAACCTCTATAAGACGAATTTCAAGGGGTACGGGAAAAATTCGTACTATAGAGGTATTCTTAATAAAGAGGGTCGTTTTATCGCGGTTTAATGCTACTGTTATTCTTCTTATAGAGGTTTCTCCTCGCTCCAAGGTTTCTCCAAACAATGACTGAGGAAGGAAGAGGTATGGGTGGGGGTTTCATGTTGAGACAAGCTTCTGTTTGTTTTGAAAACTACGTACTATGGAGGTTAAGATTATGATAAATTCGTCTTATAGAGGTCACGTTCGTCTTGTAGAGGTTTTGTGCTAAGAATATTCGTTGTATAGAGGTTAATCAGTCCTAGCCCATGTCACAAACAAATTCGACTTATGGAGGTTTTTAACTTAATTACTACGTTGTACAGTTGAACCTCTATAAGACGAATTTCAAGGGGTACGGGAAATATTCGTACAATAGAGGTATTCTTAATAAAGAGGGTCGTTTTATCGAGGTTTAATGCTGCTGTTATTCTTCTTATAGAGGTTTCTCCTTGCTCCAAGGTTTTTCCAAACAATGATTGAGGAAGGAGGAGGGATGGGTGGGGGTTTCATGTTGAGACAAGCTTCTGTTTGTTTTGAAAACTACGTACTATGGAGGTTAAGATTATGATAAATTCGTCTTATAGAGGTCACGTTCGTCTTGTAGAGGTTTTGTGCTAAGAATATTCGTTGTATAGAGGTTAATCAGTCCTAGCCCATGTCACAAACAAATTCGTCTTATGGAGGTTTTTAACTTAATTACTACGTTGTATAGAGGTGTTTTTAGCATTGACCTATATGAAAGTGTCAAGGGGATTAAAAAAAATTCGTCTTATCGAGGAATTCGTTTTAACGAGGTTCGTACAAACGAGGTTCAACTGTATAGAGGTGTTTTTAGCATTTACCTATATGAAAGTGTCAAGGGGATTAAAAAAAATTCGTCTCATCGAGGAATTCGTTTTATCGAGGTTCGTACAAACGAGGTTCAACTGTAATATGATTTGTATTCTCGTATGTTTTTGTAAAAAGGTTTTCATAGTATTGACAAGTGATTGTATGCTGCAGGTTCCACCACCGTCGTTTCTCCAGCTAACTCTGGCTGTTCACTGACCAACACCTGGACGATCACACGGACTATTATCACCATTAGTATTCTGATCAGAAGATGAAAGTTTTTTAAAGTTGTGTCTTTTTTGATAATATTGACTCAGTAGTGAACTCTGCTGATTGGTTGCTCATGGGTGTCCAGGTTGGTCACTGGTCAGTGTGTTAGGTTGTTGTGATGTTCGGAGGTGCCAATGTTAGTTACCACGAGGTGGGGGTCGCTCTAGTCACACCAGCTTTGTCTGCGACCATAGACTTATATGTTTATTCCTGACTCTGGTCTTGTAAATCCATCATGGTTTTAACTGTGGAAATGTTTAATATGTTTAAGCTTACCTACATTTTATCAGTGTTAATTAAACCATAATACTAAGTCAACAATTATCATTATGGAATTATTATTGTTATATAATACAGATACTAGATTAATAACAAATTTTATCGTTGTTTTTGTACCTAGAGACATACTTGGTAAATTTACCTTCACCATTTAACCAGGTATTGACTTAAATAGAACTAACTGTTTACTAGTAATGTCATTTTTTACATACTTTTTTATAACTATTACACTTTTAGAGGTATAAAATACTCAAAATGTTATCTGTGTTACATTTCATTTTTCCGTATTTCCATGTTTTATAAGAAATGTCAGTTCAATGTATTGTTGACTACAGGTATATTATTGCCATAATAATTTTACCATTAATTTAATGAAAATATAGAAATTTGTTTGTATTTTTTTAAGTGGTAAATTGTATAAATTTCTGTGTGTGAATGGCTACAATTTAGCTACGGTTTGTAAATATGTTTATCAGATTTTTTGTATGTATATAATTTAGGTTAGTATATTTTCCAAAATTAAAAAGAAATTTTAAGTTAAAATTTTACAGTTAATTTTAGCCTTATATTGTAAAATGAATTTTTGAATCAATTACCTCAGATTATGTAAAGAGCCTTAATTGTAGAAAGGAGTTAATTAAAAGGAAAATTACCGTAGCCTGATGAGTACTATACAACATTTATTAAACTATAGCCTGTTACGCTATTTTTAAATAATGTGTATAGTAAGTGTACATAAAAGAATAATGAGCCTTTTAAATAATTTAAATGAATTTTTACTATTGCCTAGGTATCAGATGATAGACCAAATATTGATAGGAGCCTAATGATACAGTATAAATTATGTACAAGGGCCTAATGTAACATTAAATGGTACTTGCAATTTGCAGAATTTAGATTACATATCAAATACCTACATTTGCGCATTAAATTGTTTTAATAATATAATCAGATTTGATCACTTTTTAGTATTATACATTTGGTATTTCAACATTTAAACTTATTCTGAAATATTACCTTTACCTGAAATATTACTGATGATATAAATATAGTTATAACATTTATGTTATTTGTCAAGTACAATTGCTTTTTAGACACACAGTAATATCATAAAAACACAATTATTATTAGCTATCATTACTATACAAAATGTAATTATTTTAAAAACCTATGGTTCATAGTTATCATTCCTAGATAAACTCCTAAATGGGGTTTGTTCCGCTTGTAAAATTCCTCAGTGATATATTCTTATTACTTTAAGATGTTGTTGTATTATATTAAGTGTGTAGACTAATGTTTTTTATTGATGTGTTTGTAATATACTGCAGTACATGTAAATAAACATATATATTTTATTTAAAGTTCTTTGTTTTACTAAAAATACCTGTATTTCATAATTTTCAGTTTTCACTCAATAAATATTTTTCATGTTGAAACAAATAATGGTATAAATTATCATTTAAATACTGTATTACGGTAACAATACTATACTAGTAAAAATATGCAAGTATAATATTACCAACCATATATAATAAATAATAGGCCTACCTAACCAAAATTTGTTTAAATTAAATAACTTCTTTATCAGCATCGTACGTGTTATTAAATTACCTATAAGCACAAAAAATATAAGACTTAAATAACACTTGTAATAATATATTAACAGTTTACTCACAAGACGGTAAATACATAAAAGATGGTAAGTGGTAATCAGTTTCGATTGGACAATCATCATCAGAAAGTCAGACCCAATATGCAATTCTCACCATCTTTTATATATTGTATATTTACCGTCTTGTGAAACAGTATAAGTGTAAGTATATTAATTTTATTCTTGGTTTGTTGGCTACTCACCACTAAATTAATATTATACAAAATTACAAAAAAATTAGGTATATTTCAAGCTATGAAAGCTCATCTTCAGCCTATGGGAACAACATAAAAAATCAAGTAAATAAACTATGATAGCGCCTTGTTTTCCCCTTCCAGAAACTGATGAGAACCTCTTTAGAGAAGGAGTGGGGATGTGACGTCACTCTTGACTTGAGGGAACACCATTAATATTTCATTTCATTTCATTACCGTAACACTTATTTGGAGGATATGATTCCATCGGTGTTCGTGGCGTAGTTGATAGTATCTCAGACTGGTGATCTGGAGGTCTCCAGTTCGAATCCAGCTAGCGACACTAACTTTTTGTCCAAGATTTTGCTTAGAATGCGAATACTTCTTAGCTGTACATCTTTTGTTAGAATTTGAGGCATTTATGATTTTATTTATGAACAGAACTATTTTTTAAAATTAGTAAACCTTCATTTGATTTTTATCTTAAAAATATTTGATATTATCAGCAAGTTTTGTTGTTCGGTTAGGTTATGGCAGTTAAATTTTATAATAAAAAAGTATAAGTAAACCTTCATTTGATTTTTATCTTATATCTTTTAGCAAATTTCCCATATAGGGAATAAGCTATTACCGTAGTAGTCATGGTAAGACCTGGACTCGGGACCGATTTTTTTTCGTTTTGAGGTCCCTAGAGGTCAAAAACACCATCCGTTCAAATTCATATATATAATAGCTATGCTCATAAATTCATCAATGGTAAAAAAATATTCAGTGCTGTGCTACTTTAGGTCCGTATATAACTTAAATACTATTTTACATTAATATCTTTGTTATAACTTGAAACCTGTAGGCTATACATTATTAGACCCACCTATCACCTGAAGGAATGTTTGGTTTATCATTTAATTAAGTTAAAATGAAGAAAAGTACAAGTTTGTTTCGAAAATACGTCGAGGTATACGTGTAATCACTAAGTTGATCAAAAGCTAGTATTTGTCGTTATTTATCCAATGCTTGACTGCTTCGGTCCCACGAATGCAGCTTAGTAGAGCTAAATCGTCCGTTCAACTCAAATGAACTGTAGTTCGCGTCCGACAGTAGTTTACTGAGCTTAGCTTATTTAGACACAAAATGTCGAATTAAAACATCTTAAGTTCCAAACCAGTTGAGTAACATTGTTGAGCTATATAATTAGCATGTTAAAAAATACATTAATATGTATGTATGTTGTATTCACTATTTATATTGATAATTAGCAATAAACACAGCCGAGCACTGTCCACCAAGAGGTAGTCCAAACGTAAACGTGGGTTTGTAATTAGCTGTTCAAAGAATGTTTTCCTCCTTCTCTCGAGGCAAAAATAGCCGATCTCTCTCACACTGAACAGAATAAACTCTCGTACATTTTTATATATTTTTATCCGAAAATGTTGTATAACGGGCTGTACACCTATAAATTTTTTTTAAAGAAATTGTTTTAATAGTCTTAAATAATCCCTAATATAATTATCATTTACGCTAACTATAGAGATATTTGCAAATAATGATGCCCTTATTTGCAGTTCCAGCTGCTTTTTCTATTTTATATTGACTAAAGAGTGAATGTGTTTAATAAATAATTATAGACATAGTTTCATTTTCTTCGTATTTGATGGTTAATTTTCTCACGTATGAGTAGCATATGATACTGAAGATTGATGAAGGTTTAAGTGACCCTGGCAACTCGACACCGTTATTTGCGGCATTTATTGCATTCTAGGGAAGCATTTGTGCCTAGTATATCAGTATAATTTGAATTCTAAACCACTTAATTAATATATACTCTGTATGTGGTTCCAAAACGAACATCGCCCCTTTAGCACTGTGATATTTTCAAAAGCCAATTTTAGGTGGTACATAATAACTGAATTTCACATGGTCTATGCATTATCACCTAAATTATCTTTAGCGTGGCACGGCGGCACCCTACATCATCAGATCTCGTTTTGAGTTTTCAAATAAATTCAAACAGCCTTTTGTGTGTAAAAGTGACAACACAACGGAGAAACACACAGACAGACAGTGCTCGTGATGTGGTTGAGCGGGAAAATATTACTTTGAGAGAGTGACATCGGCTTCAAACACACATTTATTGCTCGTCATGTGATTGGCAGAAGTCGACTTTGACACAAACACATAGGCTGTTCTGATGTCTCGTCCAAACAGTGCATTATTTGAATGCAATATCAGATATTGATCGATCACAAACAATGTCATTGATCGCACACGACCTTGTTATAGTAATTATGTATTAAATTGCTATGAAGTAGCTTTAAATAAATACAAGTGACTATATTGCCAAGCGTCTCTCAGTTCGAAAACAATGTGTGTTGCAGAGTAACTCTGCTCAAACTTTACTAATCAAAAGTAAAGCACAATTAATGCATTTTAACGAAAAGAGGCAATTTAAGATACAATATAATATTACAAATACAGTACATATATGTATATATGATATTACAAGCTGATATAGCCGTGATCGCAAAGATGATGATATTACAAGATAATGCGGAATAGAATAGTGTGGTTCAATAAATAAATAAAATAAATAAATAAAAATGCCTTTATTTAGCAAGCGTTCCTCAGTACATACTGCTTTACAGGATAACTCTTGTCAATTTACTAATATTAAATAAAACTAATAACAAAAAGTGTACATATATAATCTACTAGCTGGCCCGCGGACGTCGTTCTGTCCTAATGTGGTTTTATGTCAAATGCTCGTTCATTTTCAAGATGAGCTCGTTCGCATCGCTCAATCACGTCCTGGTTGAAGTTCGTTTGCTACGCTTACTCACCTTTAAGTTGGAGCTCATTCGCTGCGCTCACTCGCCTTTAGGTTTAGCTCGTTTGCTACGCTAACTCGCCTCCAGGTTGAAGTTCGTTCGCTACGCTCACTCACCTTTTGGTTGCATATTAGCTGTTGTCATAGATTTAAAAAAATAATAGTGCTGCACCCTGTTGGTAAACCTATTAACTTTTTAATACTATTGAACATCACAGAATCAAATTGTATAGTTGAACCAGCTGTTAAGATTATTTAATTCCATTTAAATATAAGTACTCATAAGGTTAAGATGGGAAACTCTAGAGCCACTGGGGCGGAGCCCTTTTGACGGATCTGCACCAAACTTCACACAAACCACCCTTGAATAATGCTTAATAATGCCTGAAAGTTTCACTACAATCTGTCGAGCGGTTTCGGAGTCCATGACGTTCAAATATACAGACTGTCCCAAAAGTCCCGGACCGGTTTAATATTTTCTAAACGACAACAGATAAATCAATAAGATTTGGTACATCAACACCACACCTAAAAATCTACTTTTTTATGTAAATTTAAATTTTCTGTCACATCATGGGGACGTCTTGCAAGGAGTCAGAAAAAAATCTTAAATAGAAGCTTAGGTTGACATGTAAATCAAATTAAAGGTCTTTACTAGCAGAATATAATGCTGGAAATTTGAACTCAAACGGACAACCAAGTCAAGAATGACAGTGGTTCAAAGATTAATCTAATTTGCATTTGGGGGCACAGCCCTAGGAATCGGAAAACATTTTTTAACGTAAGCATAGGTCGATATATGCACATCAAATTAAAGGTCTTCACTAGTAGATTAAAATGCCGTAAATTCAAGCCCAAAAGAACGCCTGAGTAAAAAATGGCAGTCGTTCAAAGATTCAAAATGGCAGGTTCAAGAAATCTTTGAACAGCCGCCATTTTGTAACGGGTGATCCTTTCGAGGCGCAGTTTCCGGCATTGAACTCTGCTAGCTAAGCCGTTTAAACTGATGTGCATATTGACCTATGCTCCTATTTAAGATTTCCTTCTGAATCCTCGTGGGACGTCCCCATGATATGACAGAAAATTGATAGTTCCTTAAAAACGTAGATTTTTAAGTGTGGTGTTGATGTGCAAAAACCTATTGATTTATCTGTTGTCATTTGGAAAATATTAAACCGGTCCGGGACTTTTGGGACAGTATGTAAATATACTAGCTGTACCCGCGGGCTTTGCCCCGTTTAACTTCATAAGTATTCGCATGGCTCAATCACGTCCTGGTTGAAGTTCATTCGCTACGCTCACTCACCTTTAGGTTGGAGCTCGTTTGCTGCGCTCACTTGCCTTCAGGTTAGCTCGTTCGCTACGCTAACTCGCCTCCAGGTTTAAGTTTGTTCGCTACGCTCACTCACCTTTTGGTTGCAAATTAGCTATTGTCATAAATAAAAAAAATAGTGCTGCACCCTGTTGGTAATCCTTGTAACTTTAATACTATTGAACATCATAGAACAGAACCTACTTCTTTAATTGAAACAGCTGTTAAGATTCATTAATTCCTTTTAAATATGAAAAATCATAAGGTTAACATAAGAAACTCCAGAGCCACTGGGGCAGAGCCCGAAAGCCCGATCAGAATAAAAACTGCTTAGTTTTCCTATTTAATGCCCAAAGTGGTTGAATGTGCTGTGGTCTGGG